AATTGAAAAAAAAATGATTTTTAAAAACCGGTTTTAACCGGTAACCGATTACCAAAAAATATAATCAACGGTTTTTAAACGATTAACGGTTATCATAGTGTTTGAAATATCTTTAAAGAAACGGTTACCGGTTACCAAAATATCAAAATTAAACGATAACCGGTTACCGGTTTTCAAAAATTTTCGGCTCCTGCCGGAGCCGATTACCGACTTAATTGATAACGGTTTTAAGCCCTGAGATATACCATACCATACTGCAGCATACAGAAATATTGTAATAATAATAATTAATAAATACTAATAAGTATTAACTATTAACTAATAAGTAATATGATTTTATTTAATTGTATTGATAGAGATACAAATCAAAAATGTACATTTCTCAAGAACATAATATTGTAAAATATTTTCGGCATAAATATGTTCTTTTTTAATTAAAAATAATTGGGTTATGCTCATGTATATTTATATTTCAAATTTTTATATTTATAAACAGTCAATATTGTCAGTAAACGAAATAGTCATAGCCCACATGGATTCACTTTTCGTTCTCGGCTCTCTCACACGCAAGATTTACAATACCGTGTTTCAGTTTTTGTGTAACTATGATGTGATTATCAGTGTCCAGTGAAATACCTTTATTTTTATTTTATTTTTGATTAAACTATTAAATTATAGAATTTTTAATTCTCTCAATACATTCAGTATACACTAACTGGAGACTGGGTCTGTGTAATATTTATAATACTTATCTGTATTAATAAATCAAAAGATTGTATTTGTTTCGGAATTTTCAATTTTCAATTTCGTACCTACTACATATTGTGTAGTATATTATGTAGTATACTGTAATTATACTATAATTCAGTACCCATGTATAGAAAAGCTATTGGCTATTTCCTGTGTTCAATAATATTTATGATTTTTATTATTTTAAACCATATTACTGGGTATTTTTATATACACTATAAAAAATAAAATAATAACTTAACTTAGTTAAAAGAAAAATTAGGTTAACTTTAAACTTTTTAAAATGTTTTTCATTAACTTAACTTAACTCAGTTAAAAATTATCATTAAATTTCCCATGCCTACGTATAACACATATATTGCATGTATGAATTTATTGTATACATCCACACTATAACGTCATAATATATACTATTTTAATATCATATCTATTGTTAAATACATTTCTACCTCTCGAATTTAGTACTAATTAGACTAATCACAATACACTGGTACATTTTACAGTATTCCGATGATATTATATTATTATTATTACAGGCGTAAGTCCCCCCTATTATATAGGCATATATCCAAATAATGTTGCTCTTTGATGGTCGGCCGTGTATAACATAACCACTGCATTGTCGAATTCTGCATAAACGTCAGTCGAATATTGTTCGCCGTGGTGCTGTAATGTTTGCCATAATATGATATTAGTATATGATACTATTACAATCCAAAATAATATAATATTCGATATTATATACGATATTGAGTTCCGAAAATAAGACACACACACACACACACACACACACACACACACACACACACGTGGTCGTCGTTTATTCGGGCGGTGGTGATAAACAGCTCGGGAAGACACGATAGAGAGATATCAAGCGAAGGGAAAAATATAAGAAACTTTAAGCGCACACAGACAAATAACGCGATAAAAACGTTCATCAATCCTTTTCCCGAAGATTCGTCGCACACGCGTAAAATAATAATATAACACACGCTGTTTGGAAGCACTCGTTTGCATACTTGCCGATATAGACTGTTGTGCTTATGTGCAGGACTTATGTAGATACGCCGTCGATACGTTTTTAATGACGAGATTTTCGTCTCACGCATTACCACCACTCGAGCCTTCAATATAATGTATAGTAGGTGTATTATATCATATGCACACCGTACATTTTCCGACGGTCATAAATTATGTACTGAGTTACCGCGGAAGAGTATTATATATACCTACGAATTTCAAAACTGTGGTCGTAAAACAATACCTAAAAACATAATATTGAAATGGGTTCGGCTGTCGGAAGATTGTAATGCGCATCATTATATTTTAATAATATTATCAATTATATCAGAATGGTATTTTAATAACCTAATATTGCGATCGATATAGTATAGTTATTCGATTGGATAGATTCGAGTCGACCTTCATCGGTAATGGCGTAGTATTTAGTGTTCCGAATCAATCGTCGAACGACATTTGTAAGTAGACCTCCCAGTGGGTTCATGTTCTGTTTGTTTCATACCCAAAGTGTAAGGTATAATGATAATAATAGCGTTACACTACTGTAAAATGGCCTAAATACCTGCTGCAGTAACGTTAGCTAATTTCGATGGGGGTGAGAGCCTGTGTGGATGGCCGATGTCATATGGTAGGCAATCCGCAACACACAATTGGCTTGACTCTATCGTTGATCGAACTTGTAAGTAGTTGTGACTTGTTAGTGACGGTGGCTGGGGGACAAAGTGACACAGTGTTCGAAAAATAAAAGAAAAAGGATTTTGAGACTTGAAAAACATTTGCATTCCTTATATACAATATGATTAAACTCAACCTAGCTCGTGGGTTACACATCCCCAACCGTTCATCTTCAAAAGTGTAGTTTGGATAGTTCAAATATAATATACCAATGCTAGTAACATTTACCAACAATTGCAATAAAATATATTATTTTACTCGTTATTTATTAACATAAAAACTAATGGTTACAATAATGGTTTGCCTATCACAGGCTCGCTTTTCGTGACAGGAACGTCAAAATATTATATTTATTTACGATTTGTTTTCAATTTATATACTTTGTAGTTATTAATATTGTGGTAAAATATTATGATTCAATAAATAAATTAAATAAACATAAAAGTATACTATTCTAATATTTCTAACTAATTTGGTAGTTAATCATACACTGTAATAATGATAAATAGATAGAGGTATCTACAAGACTTTTGATCACTGACTAAGATATTATCCTTATAATATAACTCAGTACTTTCGACGCCGTTATCGTGTTATGAAAAAGGTACCTTCGATAAGAACCATATTATGCAATCGTGTTTTACCTATATTTTTAAATTGTTTTTTTCTTTTCCAACGGTAAAAGTATTTTTTGTCTGTTCGCACATTTACCAGCCCTCCCACTTGATGATATTTTAAATTCATTCTTTCGAGCGAACAATATATTACTATTATACTATGTGTAGTAATATAACGCATGTATACATAACAAATAACAATACATCCATTTTTATTTGTATGTGTATAAATAACACATACGAAACTTTGGTGTCGAAAGTATATATTACTATAGTATACCAAGTTTATACGACTCCATTTATTTGAAAACTATACTTAATGAGCGGGAGGACGGTATAATATATAAAAATTATACCCTTCGTTTACATTTTCATAATAAATAATATACTATACACGCATTTTTTCTATTCGTAATAAATTATTATTTAATACAATTTAAAAGTTTACGCACTACGAAAAGTGCGAAACATTTTTCTTCAGTTATGGACTTCAAAGTATATATAACTACACAGCCGGTCCTATTAAAATATTAGGTTTAACTTTTAGGTTATATAAAAATATAATACATATATATTGCATCCGAGTGTCCTACTCCTTGCGCATGTACATACATGAATTAATATCGTTAAGTTATGTTTGTTTATTACTGCTCGTATAATGTTAATATATTTCTTAAACAATCAAATCATATTATTTTAGTATGCATTATCACATTAGCTTTCGACTTCTGTTGTCGCATATATTAGCATATATGTTGTTGTGTACGGCACATCATTGAATGGAAATATTCACAAAATATGTATTTATAATAAAGGTAATTTAATGCTGAAGGTGTATAACCCGGTGTATGTCACATTTTAATGCAATAGATAGTCAAAGGGTCAGATTATACTATATTACTGTATAATATTATAATCGCACCTAGGCTTTAATACACTCAACGCATAACATTTAAGAAACCACGATAGTGACATAGACTAGTATTAATCAGTTATTATAGTAGGTATGTAATAAATATGTTTGTCCTTCCCGTTTCTGACTATAAATGATACAAATTCTAATATTCTTATATACTACTATAGTATATTATACTACACGTGCCATCGTTGTTGGAAATTCATTTATTATTTCTTGGTTTTTATTGGTGATATTTATCATTTTTCCGTCGTAAAATTGTTGGTAGGACACCATTAAATAGGTAGTATAATATCTGAGAATAAAGGAGACAGTAAAAAATAAAAATAAAACATATTTACTTATTATTTGATGAAACGGAGAGTGGTGGATTTGTGTGATCATTGCCCTTCCCTCGCGGGACTCGGTTACTTCCTTTTTATATGCAAATATTAATGTTAAACAATAATAATATTATTGTCTTCGGTAAGTGGAAAAAAATTGTTTTGTTTGTACCTTGGTACTACAATTGACTACCCTTTGAAATAATGTAAAAATGAAAAACCACTACTAGAAACGGATGACCTATAAAATCATCAATCGTGATAACGATGTATACCTATGGAATCAAATATCAATGATGATCAGTTGTCAGATGCGGGTGTGTGTTATATACATATAATAGAATCATATTAGTTCGAATATAATTAGGTAGGGTTAATAAACTGTCTACACCCACTTAAACTATTAAGTTTTACTATTTATAAAGTTATATTAATTATACATAGTATTAGCTGATATACATCAACATTAAAAAAAAAAAAAACACCTACCTACTTAATAATCCAAAAGTGTTGTTCTCGTTTGAAAAAAAAAAAGTTTGTATAGTCAGAGCACACTCCTAAAAACGTCATAAAAACGTTTGAAAACCCGGTGTTTAAAAATGTCTAATAATTCCAAATATCAAAACTTGAATAATATAGCATTTTTATATAAGTCAATGTCTGGTTGACCGTGCTCATACAATATAATATCTCATTATCATGAATACTTATGAGCGTGACGTGATGTGTGTTTCAGTCGCTCCGATCGTTTCGCTCCGTCTCGGAAACTCGATCGACCCGAACGGCATCAAAGAGGGAGACGACGTGTACTTTGATTGTCACGTGAAAGCCAACCCACCGTCGACGAAGCTCACTTGGTATCACAACGTAAGTGTACATACCTTATTTATAAGTAAATTTACAATTGTGTTTGTGTGTGTGTGTGTGCTCATATAAACGCATATTGTATCTACATATGGGTTGTATACATATAACCAGAGGCGGAACTAAGAATTTTTACGCCCGGTGAAAATATTAAAATTAAGCCCAATCATGGACCAAGATTGAAAATACAATATCATTCCCTACAATTGTTTTATCATAACTGGAACTAAAATTACAAACATACTGATTAACTTTTAAACACATAATAATATATAATAATTAATATATTCTGTGGACTGTGGTGTAACGAAGTTTATACTAATAAACTATCACACCAAAAACATTTTAAATTTAAAAACTTAGTCAACATATTGTTGATACATTTTTAATTACTGGAAATACTGTATTTTTTACTTAATTGTATTTATTATTAGAAATAATAATAATATTAGTTATACATATATAAATGTTGAAAAATAATCAAAACTTTAATTACCTACCTATCCTGTATAAAAATTGTAAACACTTTTGCTGTTTTGGTTCTATGCGCCTCAGGCCTCAGCCTTCAATTATAATAGATTTTTATGGTAAAATATAAAATCTTTTATTCTGATTAGGGTACACAATTTAGGCCAGTAAAAAATTGTATTTAATTAAACAATTTATAATAGAAAAAATGAAAAAGTAAATATTTAAAATCAAATCTTTTTTTTTAAACATAAACAAATGTATAACTATCTTGGTAAATATTATAATATATAATATTATAAACTATAATATATTAACATCATTTTTAATATACAGATATAATATGCGTATCGTACGTTGATTGATAATCTTATAACAGTTATTTTACTCAGCCTAGGTATAGTTAATAGTTACATTTTCACTCTTAAATAATCGAATCTTAATAATAAATTATAGTATATTAGTTGTATATGCTTGCAGTAGGTATGCTAATGCCAGTATACCTGCAGTATATACTTAGTATACTAATACGAATCTATTCATAATCTTACTATTAACTTTATTTTTTTTTTTTCATTAATTCCAACGTCATCACTACAACATGATAAACAAATAATGTGAAATAAAAATGTTTTCTTAACTTCTATCACCAAGCATTAAATAAAGAACTAAAGAAAAATTACGCCCACTAAAATTTTACGCCCGGGGATCAATCCCCGGCTTCACCCCCTAGTTCCGCCCCTGCATATAGCTTCCTATATATACGAGTTTTATGTTGAATTGAGTATCGCACGAACGTAAGTATTGTTAACCATGCGTTATCGGAGAGTCTACTGCAGTGACGGGATGAGGAAAACAAAATAAAAAAAAAATGGGTGGGGGAGATAGTTAGAGTCGCGTTCGAAATAAATCTCCAATTCGGCGGTGTGAGAGCAAAAATAGGAGGACGCACCTATATATATATATATATATATAATACATGATACACGACTTTCTATTTATCAAATACAAAAAAAACAACAGATCGTTTGTAATTTCGCACAGTAGTTTCGTGTATATAATATATTTACGTATTTGTTCGAACTGCTTAAAAACGTTCGTAAACACCGCTCCTGTTTTATACCTATAGCCCCCTGGGAACGCTGCAAATGCCAGACACAAATTTGTAAACGTAAAGAAACCTTTTTTTTGACGGTCTCAATCCCATTCATTTTTTACATTCTAATTTATTATGACATGAAGAAACGGTCTCTTCTTTTTCTAACCTATATATTTAAAATAATTACAATTTTCTACATTTTTTTTTTTTTTTTTTAGCATCCTCCTGAAATGTAATTAACTACAACGATTTGCATACATTTACAGTGCTATCTGTTTTTTACATCAAATTAAACCAAATTAATATAATGTTATTATATAAAGCTCCACGTAGTCCCGTGAAATACTTTCAGATGTTTTTACACAAAATATTATAATTACAACAGACCTTCTCATTGAATTAACACACAATTTACGCTTTTCGGATTACACCATATCGTAAATAGCATGATACAGATGTCTGCTCGTACAAGTTATATGCAGTTAAAAACGTAACTTACTCGTACACATTAGGCAGGTACATTAAATAATATGATGACTCGCGTTATGATATTATAAAACACGTAAATACATTTTAATTATTTACTTAAATAACATATTATATTAATGTATACACGCACAAAATTAAAATATTGTTTAATTTTGTGTTAAATTACTATCTGCCTTTAGGGACTCTGCGCTTTGATTAATATTTTGTTCACATAATTATGTATTATCTACTTACGTAAGTAGCTTTGCTTTTTTTCAACACCGAACCACTAAAAAGTCTTTCTAAAACTTTCTAGAAATTATTGTATTAAATCCCGTGACAAAAATTATGTGACCAATATGAGCTTATTAATATTCTGCTTGTAAAATATAGATTTTTTAATCCCGACAGCACGTCAATTAAAATGAAAAAAAAAAACACCTGATACTGTATGCTGTATACATTTTCCGATATTATTTAGGTGTAACGCGTCATGTAGAAACTACCCAATATTGTTAATAAATAATAATGTTATCGAATGAACACGATAAATGTAATTCTCGTGTCAAAAGTATTTTGTAATATCAAGAACACAGAAATTACGTAACAGGTAGCTGGTGTAGGTACCTACTGTCTATTATACTCATAAAATATATGAAAAATACACCTAATAGCACAGGCACGTTTGTGTGTTTGACGTATTTTTAACTTTCCATTCTCGATTCTTCAAAACGCAATCAATCATACAATGTATACGGTTGATGTGAAAAGAAACAACAAGTAATAATAATAAAATACTAAAATATTGTTCCGGAGTAGTTATATAAACAAACAGTTCATATATTTACAATATATACATAATAAATAATAAACATTTTTTTTTCTGCAAAATTCATCGGAAATGTGTCTTTAGGTTAGTTTTTACATTTTTAATATCATCTAATGGTATTCTGCGCGTTGTTGAATATCGTCATGAATTATTATTATCGTATTATTTAATTGTTTTCAAACGAACTCGATGCCATCTGAGTTTACGAAAATGTTGCAGCCGTGTGCTGCGTACTACGAGAAAAAAAAATACAAAAACGTTATAATAATAATAATAATAATAACAATAATAATAATAATAATAATAAATGTCACCATAGGAATCAACACAGAAGTTCATGAGCCAACAATACCAAATTATTCAGAAAATTAATACCGTCCGAATTGTACTTAGAAGGGAAAAAATAGCAATTAGCTCCTGAAAATCAAAAGCAAAACTTTTTTTCCAAATGGATGAGTAAAGGGTGGAACTTTAATGATTGCGCAAAAAATAAAGTAATAATAATGATAATAAAAATCTCTAGACACTTTTAAATTGAAAAAAATTACTCAAGAACAAAAAAATAGTTTTAAAATAAATATTATTTTGACAGCAAATTATTAAAAAAAAAACTCGAAATTATTATTATAATAAATTAGGTTTAAAAGATGGATAAAAACTCGTGAAGTTCTCACTTTCCCGTTATTCACATGGCCATTATGAATGTTCCGACTTCATCGTTATATGAAACTTTTTACACGTGGCCAAGGTTCATTTTAGTAATTTTTTATAAAATTTTTAGTAAAAACTGACTAAAGCAGAATTGGCTCTTTAAATATTATTAACTCTCGTAAATATGACGGGAAAAAGTCCGAACCTTTTCACAGTGAAACATTTTCTTTGACATCCCAAAAGTGTGCAAATTCATGGGATGTTTTATCATTCTAGAATGGAAAAAAATATTTTTCAGTCTTCATGCCTTTAATACACTTTTAAGTTTAGTCATCATTCATGTACCTACTGTATTTTAAAATCATTGGTTAGTGGACCATTCATCAATCATCATTCATCAATAAAGGCGTGCGTGTACCTATATTTACTTAATTATATACTGTCGACATTAAAAAGTATCTGTAATAAATCATAACAATTTGCACTGGACACTAAATTGTGCTTAACATTATATTATAATAATAATAATATTAATGTGCCAATTTTGTTGATTACCAAAGCAGATGGGCAGTATACCACCAGCATCATGGTATATTATTATATTATAAGCTAAGTTCATTGTCCTTATTTTAATCGCTACCTATTTAAATTGTAAATTCAGTATTAAAATTGAAATATAAAAATCTTTTGATCAACAATATAATATTATTTACTACACACTATTAATAAATTACTATGCGAAAAATAACATCAATTTAAAAAAAAATATGCAAAAAAAATGTTTCCGCCCGGGATCGAACCGGGGACCTTGTGCGTGTGAAGCACACGTGATAACCACTACACTACGGAAACCAGATGTCCAAAATAAGAAATCGCACCGTATATAATAAAAGTAAGTAGGTATAACAACAGTGGTACAACTATTATATTAAGTAAACGGTGTCCGGTATTATAAATTAAAATAATTTAAAGACTATTTGACAATAAATAAATTGGGTACATACGTTGGTTAATAATTTCTTGTTTTTGATTTAATGATATCCGGTAGACTAGCCTATGACTATTTATACGATGTTTCTTTTGGATGAAATTTCAACCGTGGCAATTGCTTCTAACTTCTAAGATACCTAGGTACCTATTGGCTATTCTATTAAATTCGATGAAAAAAAATAATTATACTGGTGAGTGGTCGTGGTGATTACAAGTGGAAGACATAAGTGCCAAAAACGAGATAAGAAAATAATAATCGCACCAGAGATCCAAAAGCCTAGATAGATTTTAGCATTGATTATAAATACAAGTATTTATAATCAATGGTAATAGGTACCTGTAGAGTGTAACCTGTGTGCTTACTGCTTCTTTTTTTTAACATCAGTTTTTGTATTAAATATAGGCCATAGCCCATAGGACATAATATATTATATAATATAATATATATATGCATATACCTAGTAGGTACCTACCTATATTATTATATTGTTAGTAGGT